AGCCCCAGCCCCAGCGCCTGGGGATTGTTTTTAAGTGAGTAGGTTTGGTTACAAGTCCCAAGACCACCCTTCAGGTTGGCAGTGAAGGAGCTCCCGGCCGAGGTGGAAGGAAGGTCCATGTTAGGGCTTCACACATGGAGTTCACTACCTCCCTGCCTCTGCCCGCTGTCCCCACCCCCAGGGGCTCGGCAGGGCCTGGAAATCCATGGGAATGGGTCGAACCGTCTTGTGTTCTCTCTCTAATGAAGAACTGAACGGGCTCCACTGACCCCTTTGCCACATGCGGTCGGTGTCGTTGGCTTCACCTTTGTTTCTGATGCTATTAAACCCCAGCAGCCTCTTCTTGGGGCCCCAGGGATACCACACAACGGGGACCTCTGGTCTCCATGCCCCCCCACCCCCGAGGCTTCATTTTGGAAGATCCTGTCGCCAGGTCAGGCTCCACCGTTCACCCGCTCACACTGCCACGGCCCCTCCCAGCTTCCCTCAGTCATTTCATTTAAAGACCTTCATGACGCACTCCCTCTGTCCTGGGCACAGTTCCAGCTTCTCAGGACAAGATGAGGATGGCAGACGAGGTCCTCTTTTTCTATTGGGGGACACACGCTGTGGTCTAGGCACTGCGACTCCCGAATCCACAGCTGACCCCACGTGAGCCGCTGCTCATCCACCTGCCGTTCTCTGCCCACCTGGGAGGTGGCTTCTGCCGCCTCGGCTGTTCCCACCAGCCCCTGGCACGGTACGGATGTGTGCATGTGCCCGCTGCCCTCCCCAGCCACGGCATCACCACTCTGCCACCTCATTATGCCACCCCATGTCCTGGACAGGGACCAGTGCTTTTCATCCATCACAAACGTGACAGAGTTGAGAACATGAGGACCATGAAAATCAGCCGCACAAAGACAGGAGTTCAAGCCCATTGGTTTTGATGGAAAGTTGGTCTTTTCATCCACAGAGAAATAAAAACCAAGAGCCGCAAACATCATCTCGTGGAGAGGGAGGGCTCACAGCCCCTTCAGACCCTGCCCCGGCCACCTCCTCGCCCTGCCTTGACCTCAGTGGAGGCCTCTGCTGGACATGGACACAGGGCCAAGGAGTGGCACGGCCCTCGGTAGCATTCCATCCTATAGATGGGCACACCAATGCTCTAGAAGAAGAGGGACTTTCCCAGTGATCCGTGGCCAGGGAATGGCCGTCCTTACCAAGCGGGGCTAGGGTCCTCCACGCCCCAGACTCACGCAGGCCCCACACGAGGTGGTGCTTAGGGCTGAGCCTGCGGCCAGGCAGCGCCCTCACCTGCTCACTCCTGAAAGTCACCTTCTGCCTCTGCCTCCTCTAGATGGCCAGGGTCTGAAGTGAGTTGACACACACCTAGTGTGCCTGGGTCCAGTGTGGACACCTCACTGTTCCCTCCTCCACACTAACCACGACTTCTCCCTGGGCAGAGCGCACCTCAGCCAGATCTGACTCACCACAAACCAGCCCTGGATCTGGCCCCCAGTCCTGAGAGAGCTGTCGCTGTGTGCGGTGCTGTCCACTCACCTCTGGTCAGCACTTGCTGCCCTCTCTGGGTGGAATGAAGGCAGCCCCCTGGGGATTGTTTCTAAGGCCCAGGGGAAGGCAGGGCCCCATCCTTCCCCTGCCCGGGTCCTGGTTTCCCATCTGTGAGGCCCGCCCTCTGCTGGCTGCAGTCACGAGCCCGGGCCAGGTGTGAGGCAGAGGGGGCTTACCTGGGCCACTGCAGAAGGCGGCGATGACGGCCAGGATGCACACGATGCTCAGGTAAGGGATCCAGGCGGCATGGTCCTGCGGGAGGATGGCGATGCAGGCTGGGGACGAGGCCGGGTGTGACAGGAGGACCTGGCCCCGCTCCCGCTCAGGGCATCTGCGTGACCACCACAGGCCACTGTGTGCCCCATTTTCAACATCCATGACATGGAGACCATGAGGACGACTCAGAACATCTCATCCACTGGCCTCCCACCCCCGGAGGAGCAGTGAGATGGCAGGCAGAGTCCCTAGAGCCCTGGGCACAGGGAAGTGGTGACCAGATGAAGAGCTCGGCTGCCTGAGGCTGCTGCCTGAAGCAGGCAGTGGGAGAAGGTCCACAGTCATCACACGCCAAACAGTCCTCTCAGTTGTCCCTCTCGTTCCCTACAGCACCACACTGGACCTGCCATCCTGTGAGCTAGGAGGGGAGCTCATCCACACCGTGGAAGGTGTCTGGATGGGCTGCCACTTATCTGGCTGGGGAGTGGCCCTGGAGGCCAGAGTGGCCAGTAGGAGAGCTCTGGACCCTTGTGAAGCAAGACTTGGAGGGGCGTGTGCTGCAGCCCCTCGAGCATCCGATGCGGCAGCAGGAAGACCCTGCCCAGCGCCTTGCCCATGTGGCTTTTCAGAACCTCTGAGGTCCAGGAGCCTGCATGGCCGCCCTCACTGAGAACCACCTCGGGCCTGGCCATGGGAGGGAACCAACCTGCCAGAAGTCCCCTCCTCCTGCTGGTCAGCACATTCCCTATGGCCTCCCCTCTGAAGGTCCCTCCGCCCCCATCATGCTACGATCGCCTCTTCTAGACACTCTGGGACCTTAAGCCATCTGGCCCGTGAGAAACATGGACCACTTCACCACTGAGATTCATTCCAGAAAAGTGCCAACAGACGCTGCTTGCTGCCACAGCCTGGCTTAGATCTCAAGTGAGTGCCTAGTTAACGTGAGCTGCCCTGAACGGCACAGGGGTCAGTGGGCTTGAACCCAAGACCCCGGATCCATGCCCGGCTCTGCTCATTTGTCTACGTGCATGCTGGGGGCTTCTCATATCCACAAAAGGAGAAAACGGTGAACTCACAAGGATGAAGAGCATCGCCCTCCCTCCTGCAAACCATGCGCTCAACAAGCCTTTGTCCATTTAACCCCTGCAGCACCCCAGGGTATAGGGACAAGGGTTGCATTTTAGAGATGGGGCCTCAGGAGGGGCAGACAGGGCGAGGGGCTGGCCAAGTCTCGGGGTGAGCAAGTGGGAAAGCCAGGATTCCACACAGGTGGTCCAGCTCCAGGGCCCTGCGGGTGACTCCAGGCTACAGGGTGGCAATGGAGAGGTACCTAATGGCGCCCTGTGCTGGAAGGGTCATCTGTGCAATCTCCTGTGTCCCACAGAGGGGTACACTGCGGCTCAGAGGGTCATAGCTTGCCCAAGATCACACGGCTCATCAGTGGTTGTGACAGGACCAGAGCCAGGCCTTGGTGACCACCCGGCTGCCCTGGAGCTGACCCCTCGGGAGGGCTGTATCACAGGCAGCCTGGAGGCAGACGGGCTCTGCTGACCAAAGGTCCCGGGGTGCTGAAGCCGGGAAGGCGCTCCAGGCTGACCTCCCCCGAGGCGGCAGCTGCACCCACTCACCTGCAGCACCAGGGTGACCGTGAGCGCCCCGAAGAAGACGGCCATCAGCCCGAAGCCTCCAATGAGGAGGGGTCTCCGTCCCAGGCGCTCGATGACCAAGCCCTAGTCCAGGGGGGGAGAGAGAGAGAGAATGAGAGCTCGCTCTTATTCACCTTCACAGCAGGAGGAGGGAAACGGCCCTGAGAGCCCGTGGGGGCCATGGTTCAAGCCTGGCTTTGACCCTGACACAGCCCGGCCTCGCCCCCATCGCCACAGCCGGAGGAGCAAGGGTGCTCATGACAAAGGAGGGAGAGAAGCTCCCAGTGCCCGCGTGGTCAGCAGTCCCTCTCCTGCTCTGCTGGAAGGATGTGGTCACCGCAGCCCTTCCCCCTGCAGAGCCAGCCTGCCACCCAGGCCCCTGCTCTGGCCCCCATGGTGTACCTCCCTAGGGTCAGATCCCGAGGCTGGGCACAGGGCAGCAGGCCCTGGAGAAGGTGTGTTCTTTGCTCCTGCCCCAAAGCCTGGAGGGTCAGTTTCCCAGAGGCCTGGGGCCTCTATCTGCGACAGGAGAACCAAAACACCTCCAACAAGGGTGTCTGGGGGGCGGGGGTTAAACGGGACCACACGCGGCACACACCTTAGGTACTCTGATTATGTCGGGGGCCGTCCTCCCATCCCCATTTCCCAAAAAGAGAAGAGAATCAGAGAGGTGAAGTAACTCAGCAGATGCCACACAGCTGGGAAGTGAGAGAGCCAGGAACTGAATCTCGGTTGTCTGTGCAGAAATTCATGGTTTGGCTCACTGAGCAATCTGGTGCGGCTTTTTGGAAGAGACAATAGCTAGCTGGCAGAGATGGAGGGAGCTTGTCGGGCAGAGGGGTAGAGGCCTGGAGGCTGGGAGACCCTTCCAAGAGGGCCATCTGGCTCGGACAAGGAGAAGCCAAGCACGTCAGCCTTCCAGCGATGGTCAAAAGCCAGAGCACTGAGGTGGACAGTTGCAAGCTGCCCCAAAGCCCTCTTCTAGACACGTTGGGACCTTAAGACATCTGGCCGATGAGAAACATGGACCACTTCAACACTGAGATTCATTCTAGAAAAATGCCAACAGACGCTGCTTGCTGCCAACAGACTGGCAGGGAGGCTCACTGCAGGGACATCAGCGCCTCTGACTTTCCCTCTTGCCCCACGCCCTGCTCTGAAGCGGGTGGGTGATGAGACATTATCTGGGCAAATCTGTGTTCTCCCCAGCTCAGCAGGGCCAGCCGTTCTGCCTGGTGAGCGGGCACCGAGCGGTGAGTGGCAGCTGCCCATCTGAAGGACATGGCTCTGTGGGCCGCTTAGATCCCAGACCGCCAGTCACTGAGGCAAGGCACTGAGGGACAGGAGGGTGTCTCTGGGGCAGAAAGCCAGGGGGAGGCGGAAAGCAGGCCTGGCTGATGGACGCCTGCAGGGAAGAGACTTCCTCTCCAAAAGGCTTGGCTCAGGGCGGAGCTGACCCAGGCCTCCAGACTCAGCCCTCTGAAAATCTGGGCCCACAGGACAGCACAGGCAACGTCCAGAAGTACCTGGGTTCCAGTCCTAACCCTGCACTAGCCGTCCCTGCACCAAGGATGGCGACTGAGCTTATTTAAGCCTCAGTTTCCCCACCTGAAAAGTGGGAATGGAAGCGCCCTCTTTGCAGGGGCTGAGATCAGAGGGAGAGAATGCACAGGGGCTTCCGAGGCAGGGCAGAAGACGAACTCTTCCTGTCAATCAAGGGGTCTGGCCTCAGCTCCTGCCTCTAGCTGTTTGTAAGGCCTTGAACAAGTTGGTCAGCTCTTTTGTGAATTAATTTCTCCCCTTTTCTGATGCCAATGCATTTAGTCTAGATAAAAATAGTTGGTGGCTCTTGACTGAGCACCTATGTTTGAGGCAGGCGTGCATCAATTAATTTAACACCGGCAGTAACTTTACAAAGTAGTTCCTATTAATCATCTCAGTTCATGGATAAAAATCCTGAGGTGCAGAGACTTTGGGAACTTGTCCCAGGTCACATAGCTAGTAAGTGGCAAAGTTGGGATCATTCACAAAGTCTTTTCTGATTCTTGAGACATTAAGATTTCCCAAACTAGATGTAGACAAAGCCACTACTTTGTAATATCCCACTGTCCCTGTCCCACCTGGACATCCAACTCCTGAACACGGAGACAAAGAGTGTTCAACCATCTGCTGGTGCGCCTCGCTCCCGCCCCCTGGCGTCCTTCCACACCTCAAGGCCAGGGCCTTCCCCCTGCTCCTGACAGTAGGTGTCCAGCCAACACCTGCCGATGGAGCGAGTGCCTATCCCTGCCTTCTTCATTCTCAGGCCAGGGGACGTGTGGAGGCCAGAGAGGACAGCAGGGAGGAGAGGTAGGAGATGGATGCACTGGCAGGGCCACCTGCGACCCCCTGAAGGTGCTGGGGAGGGTGCTCCGGGCCGTCGCTTCTGGGTCTCCTGTCTTTTGCCGGCTCAGCCCTGATAGTCGCTTGGCCTTGTCCCTGTGTGTGCATCTCCACGCCACGAGGACACACATGTGGAATGTGAGCTGTTTCAGCCAGCCTTTCACTGGTGTGACTAAAGGACCCAACAGGACGACTGTAAAGGAGGAAAGGTGTGTCTAGGGGCTCAGGGTTTCCGAGATCTTGGTCCCCAGAAAGCCAGCTCCGCTCCTCGGGGCTGGAGGTGAGGCTGAGGCAGAGTGTGGCGGAGGGAAGCAGCTCACATGGTGGACAGGGAGCAGAGAGGTCTCCACTTGCCAGACACCACATGTACCCAAAGCCACGCTGCCATTCCCACTCCTCCAGCCACAGCCCACCACTTCAGTGGCCACTCAGTTAATCCTACCAGGGGATTAATCCGCTGGCGGGGTTAAGGAGATAGCTTGCTGAGGGCCATTGCCAAGTAGGAATGACGCATGGAAATTTCCTTGCCAGCGTACCCCATGTTAAATGGACTTGCCTTGGAAATTCGCTGTGACATTGCATGTGTGTTTGAGAAAGGTGACCCTGCTCAAGGACCAGGGTGGATCCAGGTTTAGGGTGTATCCTGCAGGTTTTAGGAAGTATCCCGCTCCTAGGGTTTAGGGCGTTCCTGGTTTAAGACAAATTTTAGGCGTTCCCGGTTTAAGACAATCTGGGTTTAGGGCAGTTCCAGGTTTAAGGTTATTCCTGCTGGGAATAGGGCATATCCTGCTGCCTGGGTTCCTGTTGAGTTCTCATGGAATTGAGAAAGTATTTGGGAAGTGAATTGGGCGGGCAGAACTGGGATTTCCCCAGAACGTGTTTGTACAGGGCCGGTGTGAGTTCGGGAATAAAGAATTGCTGTTTGAATCTACAAGGTGTGAGTGGCTCGTGATCTTGTGCCCAGCCAGACTTCGGCAATAGCCCAGTCGTCTCTCTGAACCTTCTTACACTGTCTCACCCATGAGCTTTGGTGGATACCTCATCTAAACCATAACAGGGGCTCACCTTGTCCAGTATGACCTCAGCTTAACCAGTGACATCCATAATGACCCTGCTTCCAAATCAGGTCACATTCTGAGGTTTGGGGACTTCAACATGTGAATTTATGGAGATAATTCAACCATAACTGGTATTATGAAGTATCTGCTTGATCACATTTACTGAGCATCTGTTGTGGGCACAGATCTGGGAATTACTGCCCCGTTCTCACAATCACACCTAGAATTGTTATCACCTCCACGTTCCCAAGGAGGAAAAATGGGAATCAGAGAGGCCATGCATCTGGCCCAAGGCTACCAACTGGGAAGTCAGAACCACAGAGCCCAAACACTCCACCACTGAGCTCTTTTCTCCTGGCCCATGTGCAAGATCCCATGTCCTGAGCCTCAGGCGTGAACTCTGAAGGCTTTGACTTTGAAATGGGATTTGCTGGGAGCGGGTGGACTGCGGGTAGCGGGCAGCGAGTCCTAGTAAGGATTTACTGCCTTCAGTGCCAGGGCACAGCCCCCACCTCCATGACAAACGCCCCCTGCCATGAATAAGGACTCGCTGTGAACTCCACCCCCACCCCACGTAGCTGCAGACTTCTGCCTTGCTTGGCCTGGAGGACACTCGTGTCCACTGCTCAGGAGAGTAACACCGCACAGAAGACTCAACTTGGAACAGCAGCCATCCCACAGTGTGGCAGTCAGTGCATCTGCCAAGCTGCCGAGTGACAGCCTCGGTCAGAACGAACCGTGGATGGGGTGCAAGTGTTCCCTCCTCCATGTCCCCAGCTCAGAGGCAGCGCACTGAGCTGTCAGAATTTCAGTGAGAATGAAAACATTGAGAGGTCCTTTTTGATAGGCGGTTAACCTGGAAGGTCAGATGATTTGGGAACAAGGTCAGCAGCACTTTGAAATAGCAAGGGATCCGCTGGGTGCTGACCGTCAGGGAGGAGGGAGTGGCCTTCACACCCTTGCAGTCTAGTTTCCATGGCAACCAGAAGGCAGCTCCTATTGCTGCGGTGTAGCATCCCCCAGGGAAAAGCATCACCGAGTGAGCAGGCTGGTCCCTCCTGGAGATCTGTCTGCACCCCCTCCCGGCTTCGAGAGCTCCCCAAGTTCCTCGGCTCCTGAGGGCATCTTCCAAGCGGCCATGGCCTCCCTCTTGCCTCAGCTTCCAGGGTCCCGCCTCCTTCTCTTCTTGACCCTCCTGTTCTCTCTTAAAAGAACCCGTCATAACCCCGAGGCCACCCAGACATCCAGGATGACCTCCCTATCTGGAGATCCCTAACTTGACCACATTGGCAAGTCCCTTTTTGCCCAGCCAGGGGACATAGTTGCAGCTTCCTGGAGTTCGGATGTGAACCTCTTTGGGAGCCAAAATTGTGCCCACTACAGATGGCCACAGTTATGCACATTTTGCAAATGAGCAAGTAGCGTCAGAGATGCCAGGCAGTTTCCCAGGATCGCTCAGCTGGTAAGTGAGGATCGGGATTTTGCTCAGAGTTGCTCAGCAGGAGCGTCCATCCCAAATCCCAGCACTGTGCTGCTGCATGGGGTCTCGTGGAGGTCCAGGGCTGGGGAAGCAGTCTCCTTGGACTGCTCTGTACCTGCCCTCGCCTCTCCAGGTCCTTTAGAAGCTAAGGTGGGCAGCTGCCCAGCGCACTCCCCTTCTCCCGAGTCCTGTGGCTCCCTCAGCTCCAGGCTTCCTGGCCCCCTCCTCCAGGGAGCCCTCCTGAAGCTCCGCGCAGGAGCTGACTCAGTGTTGCATGCAGGCATTATCTGTTCTGGGTCTTTCTCTCTAGATCACCACAACTTGAGGGTGACCCCGAGTCCGTAGAGAGCTCCTAGGGTGACTGTGAAGTGGACAGGTGTGGGGTTACATGGCTCCACCCCCAGAGCGAGGAAGTTGTTGCTCCCCACTCAGGGTCCACAGAGCCTGTGCCCTTAGAGGCACGACCTCGTTCCACCGTGGGTCTTGCCTGCCTCCATTGGATGGTGAGCTCTTACAGGAAGGTGCCACGGCAGTGACCCTCTGTGACTCCAGCACAGGTCAGCAGCTGGACTCAAGCTGGCCGACGGGCACCATCACGAACCTTCCCGGCTCCAAATGGCTGAGATCCACTGTGGAGCCACTTGGAGGAGGCACAGGGGCTGGTAGGAGCACCCTCCAGAGGCCGGGTCTGAGTCCTGAGCTTAGGCAGTCCCTCCTCCTCTCCCGGAGGGTGGAGCTGTTGACCTCCCTTCTGGCACGTCCAAGGAATCCTCGCTCAATATCAGCTGTTAACAAGGATGAGGACGATGCTGGCCAGAGGGGGGCTGGAAGGAGCGGCTTCTGGAATCAGGAGTATTGGGTTAGAATGACTCCATAAGAACAAGGAGCAAGATAGAGTGAAATCAGTCAGAAACAGGACCGGGGAGCTTTGCCGGTTTGCACCGGCATCAACACCCTCAGCTCCATCTGGGGAGCAGCCCCCTGGAGGGGGCATGGCTCTCTGGTCTAGTCCTTGCTCCTTCCCCAGGTGCCGAGTGCTAAAATGCAGGGTGCGGACCCACCCAGTGAGAGCCCAGGGACTTGAGCAGGCATCAAGAGGGAAACGGGCTCAGAGAGTTTGTGCACATGGTTCAACATCACACAGCCAAGGAGTTGCAGAACTGGGACTTCAATCCAGTCTGGCCGGATTCCAAAGCCTGGACAATTTCCTCCTAGACTCCGGATTCTCCCAGGACTCCCCCCTCCCCCATCCCCGCAAGTGTTACTTAGCATACACTGGTGGAGAAAGAGTGGGTTCCAAGTCTCCGCTCTGGGCACTGTTACCCACCTGGCCCTCCCTGGCACGGGGTTTGCCCTTCCTCCTCTGCTTCCTAAACTCCTACCTGTCTGGGGTGACCAGGTGACAGATGATGGTCGTGGAACTTTTTGAAAGTCGGGGCAAGAGATCCGAGACACACAGGGTCCTTCTGCCCTGAACTCCCAGGGAGGACAGGGCCTCAGGCACAGGGGTCGGACCCTGTCACTGGGAGTGGGAGGGGTTAGCAGGAGGGGACAGTACAGAGGGGCACCTTCCCAGCTGGTCAGACATCCCGAGGGCCACCTACAGGGGGGTGTGCCCCTGGGAAGGCCACCCTGGCTGCCTGGGTCCGGTGTCACCCGACCCGGGATCCCCCTCAGGACTCACAGAGAAGATGGAGGCCAAGGTCTCCACGCCGCCCGTGCTCAGGGTGACGTAGGGCGTCTTTTCTTGAGGGATCCCAGCTTTCCCAAAGATGCTGTTCGTGTAGAACCAAATCTGTAACATGGGAAAGAAAGAGGAAGGTCAGTGCGACCTTGATCTACTCCCTGCCTCCAATCCAGCCACCGCTGGAGCTGTGCGAGGCGGCCCTCGGTTTCCACCCTTCGCCCAGGTTTCCTGTCTTCCCTATGGAACCCCACCTCCTGGGAATGGCATGCGCTCAAAGGACGTTGACCCGGGAGCTGGCCAGAAGCCCAGTGTCCACGCAGAGGCCAGGCTGCTCGGGAGGACAGCAGCCTAAGGTGAGGGATTCTAAGTGATGGGTCTAACTTTGGGATCTGAAAGCTTCCACATCACTGAGTCACAGAGGAAAAGAGTGGGAAACAGCTCAGTGTTGTCAGACTCAGCTTCACTGATCGCTAAAGCACGGGACGGCCACTCAGCTTCTGCCGGAGCCACCGAGCGAGTCACGTTGGTTTAGGTCGAGGTTCTCAGTGGGGCCGGCTTTGCCCCCAGGGGGTGCTCGGCATTTCTGGAGACACTCTGGTTGTCACAGGTGGTGGGGTGGCACTGGCACCCAGGGGTTAGAGGCCCAGGACACTACTGGGCATCCTGCAGCCCCCAGGGTCCTGCGGCTCAGAAGCGCTGCCTGTTCTAGGGGCTGAGGACGCAGAGACGCCAGCAGCCGCCCCAGACGCAGGCCTGGAGGGGAGTGTGCCAGGGCAGGTGCCACGCCTGGGATCCCGGGCAGGCCCCTGGCCTCGGGAAGCTGCAGCTTCTTCATCCAGAGAACGGGGATGATGCCACCTGCCCTGCAGGACAGCTTGGGGCTGGAGCAAGGTGACAAATAGTAGGCACCTGGCTGAGTTGACTAAGGTCCCCAAGGACAGGCCGTGTCCCCAGTGAATTCTGGTAAAACAGAGGGTTCAAGCCAGTTCACAGGGCACAAGTAGTGTTGATCTGTTGCTCTCTTCCTTGGCCTCGGGTCTGGACTGGAGGGCAGCAGGTGTGGGCAGGCCCTGGACCCAGATGGGCACGGTCCGGCTGAGAGGCTGGCACTTGCTGCTCCAACCACAAATGCAAGAAGCTGGACTTTCTTTGTGGCTGCCTGGGGGGGGGGGTGAGCTGGAGACAGCGTGAGGGACATATGGGGGGATCCTCTCAGGGGCTCTTGGTGACCCTCCCTGCTAGGGTTTAAGCACCCAGACCTTGGGGCCAGACAGCTTAAGTCCTCCTCATACTGTTCTCAGCTGTGTGACTTTGGAAAGCGTCTTGATGTCTCTGTGTCTAACAGTGGGGGTTAACTCACAGGGCTGGCACGGGACGGCTCCTGGCTAATACATGTGCACGTGCAGCTGAGGGCACCAAGCCAGGGTGGGGACGCGCTTGGCAGGGCTTTCTCAGGGCAGGTTCATGGCCACATGGGGGCAGGAAGCCAGGCCTCTGCTCCTGGCCTGTAGAGAGCTGAGCTGACCTAGAGGTTGGAGGGCTGAGGAGCAGGGAGCAGGGCTGAAGCTGCCACTGCCCTGGAGAGAGCAGGGGTGGCCGCAGGCAGCTGGGTCTGGAACCCGGAGAGCTGCAGCTCAGGCCCAGGGGCTCCCCGAGAGCCTGGAGGTTTTCCAGGCCAGAGTCGCAGGCGGGAGGCAGCCCAGCCAAGACGCTCCTCTGAGGAAGTCACCTCAGCCTCTCCCGTCTCCCCGTGGTGACTGCCTAAGTGTCCCTTTCTTTGAGGAGCAGGACTCCAGGGTGGTAGTGGCATTGACCGGGGGCTGGCTCTAGCCTGGGACTGGGCACCGTGCCTGGAGCGTCTCCTTCCACATCACTGTGATCCATCCCACAGAGGAGGACACCGAGGGTCAGAGGCGTCCTGTGGTTGCCCGATGCTGCGGAGTTGGTGGAGGCCGGCAGAGCTGGGTCTGAACCTGGGCACCCAGAGCCGAGCCCTGAGCCACCCGCCTCCCTCCTCGGTTCCTGTTCCCGTGCACAGCACCTGGCGGGGGCCCAGCACTCACGGCGTTGAGGCCACAGAGCTGGTAGCAGGCCATGGTGACGACCACGGTGATGACCTGCCAGCGGAGGAAGGGGGCCCTCAGCAGCTCCAGGACGGACAGCAGGTGGACGTTCCTCTGCACGCGGCTCTCAGCCAGGGCCTCCTGCATCTCTTGGGAGACGTCCGCTTTGCCCAGAAATGTCTGGAAGGCTGTGAACAGGGACAGGCACAGGCTGAGGGCGGGGCGAGGATGTCCTATGCCGATGCAGCCCCAGGTGCCGGTCCCACCACTTGCACCCCTTGTCCAGGGTCTCTGAAGTCCCGGGGCCCAAGCGCTCATTTAGAAATGGGAAATCAGAGGCCAGAGGGGCACAGTGACTTGCTGAGGTCACCCAGATGGCTGAGCGAGAACCTGGTCTCCGACGCCCCTAGGCCCAGCAGGCACCTCCCGGCAGGAGTCCCCGGGGTCCCTTGCACCCTTGCTGCCTGGCCTGGCTGCTGTGATAATCTCACAGCGTCTGGTGCGGGGCTTCTCCTTTGGAAGAGTCTTTTGCTGGACATTCATTGAGTGCCTGCTGTTTGCCTGAGCCTGTGCTCACCCTTATGGGAGGTTCCAGCAGGAGTGGGATCTCCGCTGGGCCAGGATGCCCCAAGGGCTGGAGGGGAAGGGACCT